ATGTGTATAAAACATCTTCTGGCCCTTGTGGGCACTGTTACCTGGAATGTGGCTAGGTCCCTGTTAAGCATCCTCATCTGTGTCCAGTCATGATCTCCCCTCTCTCCCCTATTAGCTCCCAGTTGAGGATAAAATCAGGATCATTGCGCAGAAGATCTATGGGGCTGACGACATTGAATTGCTCCCCGAAGCTCAGCACAAAGTGGAAGTCTACACAAAGCAGGTTAGATGCTGGGTTGGTTTGTTTTTTCACCCCCGCGCCAGCATCGGGGCTGGTTTTCTGTACCCCCTGGTAGGAACCCCTGGAGTCGGAACCCCTGAGTTCTCCCAGCCCCCCAAGCACCCACTGCTTCACATTTCTGGGCGGCAGCCTTTTCTCCTCTGAAAAACTGAGTTTGGATGAGGTAGTCTAGTCCCAAGTTCTTTATCCACCCATGGGTGGTATATGATGGGAGGAACAGCCATGAGGAAATACGAGTGTCTTACCAAAATATTGAGAGCCTGCCTTCAGTCATATTCTCACATCTGCTCCAAACTGTCATTTTTAATTGCTTATATAGATGAAAGTAAAACATTCACTGTGGAATATGGTTGTGAGTACTTACCTTCCTCACCCAACAGAGATGATTATTATTATTTTTGATCTATAATAACTAAGCTGGAGGGCAGTGAGGTAGAGATGGATATAAAGGGAGTTAGATGTTTCAAATAGCAGAATCCATATCATCACAAAGTCCAGATGTTCTTTGTGGTGTTGCCAGCTTTTCATTTGTCCTACTTCTGCTCCCTTCTTTCCCCAGGGCTTTGGGAATCTGCCCATCTGCATGGCCAAAACACACTTGTCCTTGTCTCACGATCCAGAGCAAAAAGGCGTGCCTACAGGCTTTGTCCTGCCCATTCGAGACATCCGCGCCAGCGTCGGGGCTGGTTTTCTGTACCCCCTGGTAGGAACGGTAAGTGTGTGCAGCAGACAAAGAAGGGCGCTTGTTCCTCTGCTTCTCGTCCTAAACTGATTACTGAAGCCATCAGCAGATGCCAGATGAGCAGAGTTCATTGCTGAGGAGAAGGCTGGAGTCTGGCCTGGATGAATAATCGTCTTGCTGTGGACCATCTTGGTGTCAGTTCAAGGATGATGCCATGACTGTGTGTCCTGAATAACAATTCTGTTTCCCAGGGGCAGTATGACCTTGACTGGATCCAGGACGGGCCTGATTGGTAGGCTGTGTTAGTGCTTGTATATAACCACAACTGACATTTATTGGGTGCCGTTCAGATTATTGGTCCTCCCAGCAGCCCTTCTGAGGTCGGGACAGAGGCTCTGTGCCTCTCTCCTCTTCTTGACAGGCCTAGAGCTTATGCCTGAAATTCAGAGAATTCGTTGTTTATGAGTAAAGAACTTCCCACTTAAAATGCAAATGAACCCTATAGATGTGAAAGGTGAGGTTGCTTATTTACACCTCAAGATGAATTAATTATCAGGTGCTTTCTTGTCGTATTAAAGGAGAGAAATTGCCAATAGGGAGGTAGACCAATGCTTACAGATGTAATCACAGTTTGGACGGACTTTGTCCCAGAGTTAACATTGATCCTGTGCCCAGGTTCCCCCTGAGATCTGCCCACTATCCTACTCCTGCAGATTGTACTTACCTGCAATCCAGGAGTGAAATATTAAACTAAGCCAATACACAGTGGAAAAGAAACCCGTAGATATGCTTTTGGAGTTAGGTTATTTCAGTACAGTAAGAAGGTGCTGGGGTGTGTGTGTGTGTGTGTGTGTGTGTGTGTGTCTGTGTCTGTGTGTGTGTGTGTGTGTCTGTGTGTGTGATCAGTCCTGAGCTAACATCTGCCAGTCCTCCTCGTTTTGCTGAGGAAGACTGGCCCTGAGCTAACATCTTCCTCCACTTTATGTGGGACGCCGCCTCAGCATGGCTGGACAAGCGGTGCGTCAGTGCGCACCCGGGATCCGAACCCAGGTCGCCAGCAGCGGAGCGAGCACACTTAACCGCTATGCCACAGGGCCGGCCCCTTGATTTTTAATGTATAACAAGAAGAGTGCCACTTTATTGACAACTACAGAGTAATATTCTATCTTATGCTTTGGGCTTTCTATCTGAGGGGAAGGTGGAAAAAAAGATCACTTTCAGTTTATTTTTAGTGCTATTTCATATCTCCTAGATGAGCACGATGCCTGGACTCCCTACCCGGCCCTGTTTCTATGATATTGATTTGGACCCTGAAACTGAGCAGGTGAATGGGTTGTTCTAAACAGGTAAGTTGTCACTGGTGATTTTCGCCTTTTTCCTTATGCAGCATATTTATAAATTATCAGACTCCAACTAAAGCTATGAAAATGCAAATTCTAATGCTTTCAAAACATTTCTTTCCAGACATCACTGAGGGGAGAGGGGGCAGTCTGAGAGTTGGCAGTAACCAATGAATGAAATATTTATATTTCAACACATTTTTGGAAGAAGAGCACAACTTGTCACAGGTTGGCAGTGTAGGGGAGAAAGCTACCGTCTAGTGAACTATGGAAGGACTGCGCGGAGGTTAGACCTCCTCTGCTGGAGCCCCAGGAGGCTCTGCATTCTGAGTCAATGGCACATTGAGGGGCAGGAGCAGCTGAAGGTCTGTATACCGTAGTCCCCGCTTATCACAGGGGATATGTTCCAAGGCCCCCCAGCGGATGCCTGACACCACGGATAGTACCAAACCCTATATATACTATGTTTTTTCTATACATACCTACCTATAATAAAGTTTAATTTATAAATTAGGCACAGTAAGAGATGAACAACAACAACTAAAAATAAAATAGAACAATTGTAAGAATATACTGTAATAAAAGTTACTGTAGATCTTAGCAACCTCAGTATATGATTTTTTTTCTTTCCTGATTAAGTTGAGAACTTGCACCTTTTTACTTAAAGGAAGCACTTTATGGCTTCTCTTTGGCATATCTGAATTGCCAGCATCACTACTCTTGTGCTTTGGGACCGTTATTAGGTAAAATGAGGATTACTTGAACAGAAGCACTGCGATACTGTGACAGTGTATCTGATAACTGAGATGGCTACTAAGTGACTAATAGGTGGGAAGTGTATACAGTGTGGATACACTGGACGAAGGGATGATTCACATCCTGAGTGGGACAGAGCAGGACGGTGCAAGATTTCATCACGCTACTCAGAACAGTGTGCAATTTAAAACTTCTGAATTGTTTATTTCTGGAATTTTCCTTTTAATATTTTCAGACCGCAGTTGACTGTGGGTAACTGAAACCGCAACAAGTGGAACTGTGGATAAGGGGGGGACTACTGTACTCTGAATAGACAATTAGCAGTCAAGAGTTGAGTAAAGATCCCAGAATGTAGAAAAGAGAAGGAACAGGACCAGTCCCAGAGTTCTTGGGGTCTTAGGTAAAAGGCCCCCAGGTATTCATCACAGTGAATGAGCCATCTCTAAACACATCTAGTTGAAATTTCAAAAATATCAAAGATAAAAATCCTAAAAATCCTTTTCCAGAGAAGAAAAAATGGCTTACCTACAGAAAAATGAGAATTAGACTGAACACCTTTCTTCTTATCAGCAATAAGAGGCTTTTAGACAATGGAGGAATTCCCTCCAAGTTCACAGGGAAAGATGACTTTCCACCTGTATTTACATCTATCCAGCTATTTTCAGATGTGTACAGGTTTGCCACCACCATGTCTCTTCCTGTTTAGCAATGTACTCCAGCAAAATGAGGAATAAACCAATAAAAAGGAAGACGTGATTTTCAGGAAACCAAATCTTGATCTGGACAGTAATCAAGGGGAGTCCTGACACCTGCAAGTGACCTAGAGTTACACATCCACCGTGGAATAGCATGAGGCAGGAACTGAGAAAGACTAGACAGAGCTAGAAAAGACAAGGGTGTCAAAAGGTAATAAAGTAAAACAAAAGCTCTCACATTGTTTCAGAAAGGAAAGGTCCAGGTGGAAGCAAACTGTAGTCACCATGTAAGCAACTGTGAGGCTGGTTGCCTACATTGTAGGAGAGAGGCTGTGCGCTTGATGGTGGGGGAACACTGCTTTAGGAGGGCGTATGTGACAGTGGAAATGGTCTGGCCTTGAATGGTATTCACAGAGCCATATGCAAATGTGTGCATTGTTTTCAAGTCTATGGACAGACCCTAGAAGAGCTGGTTGTGGGAAAGGATATAAATGTTAACAACGTTGACAGTTTGAGAGGGTAGTGGTGCCATGTGGAAAGGAAGAGGAAACATTTCAGCGTTTAGAGAAAACATTTATTTCTCGTTTCTTTTTCCTTCCAGATTGTCCATCTTCAAGAAGCTACTTTGAAAGTTTGGTCTGTGTCTATTCAGGCCCACTGTCAGTTGAGAAGTGTGGGGAAGTCGAGAGAAGTCAGCCCCTGCCTCGAAGATCTTCTGAAATAAATAGTGGGAGTTTCCCCAGAAGCCTTTCTTTGGTCTTAATTCCCATTATCATGTATGAATTAGCACAAATCATGCACATGTCTATTTACTTTACTGAAGTTCCATAGAATAAAAGGAAATAATTTTGCTGTCTTGTTGTTTAAATATAAATTGTAGCATGAACAGACTGCTCTGCAGTATCTCTGCCATCCTGTGTGAGCCCATTTGCTGGGCAGACCCCTGGGACTGAAGAACGAGTTGCAATATGTACTTTATGATACTGTGGTATTTAAGGGGAGAAGGATGCCTGCTTCGTCTTTCTGGGAGGACACATAATCAGGAGACCTCCTGAGTGGGTTAGGGGGAAGTAGGGTATGGAGGATCGGCCTTTTTATCATATACTTTCCTATATTTTTCCTTTTTTTTACCCTGTGAAAGTATTGCTTATACAGGTCTTTGTCCTGAACCTCCTTGGAATTCCCATTTCTGTCACAGCTTTAGCGCCATTTCTCTGTAACATCCTCAGGAAGGATGGTCAGATAGCAGTAACAGTAGGTTAGCCTTCTCTGCTCTGTTGGTTCAGCAAATATTTACTGAGCTTCTTATACCATGTATGTGGGCTCTGTCCCTCCCTACAGAATGTTTTCCTTTCTCTTCTTATCTTCTATCTCTGTTCTTCTTCTCCCACTTTTTCCTCCCTGTTTCCACTCTTCTTCCTGCACTGGATCCTTCCAGAAGATGTTGCATCCCCTTGGTGGCAGTGATAAACACTGCTGGCATTGGCAGAGTAGTGTTTTTCCTGGTGTCCTTGGTTTATTATTTTTAACCACCCAGGTTCACATCAGTATTGTAATACAGTCAGTTTTGCAGTGCAAAGAAATGCTGGCCGTGCTTTTGGGGGCATGTGGCAAAGGGGTCCTGAGTGCAGAGCCCCAGCTCGACCATGCTTTGTACCATGCCAGGCAGTGTACACCCTCAGTGATGTCAGTTCCCATGCCAGAGCATCATTCGGGCCCTGTCTGCAGAGTTCACTGTTCTGATGTTCTTTTTAAATGTCCTATAGAACCTCACCTGGAATGGGACTGGCGGGGAATTCAGTTTGTAACAAGGGAAGAAAGCAGTCTATAGTCAGACATGGTGACTTAAAGATCATCTTAAAGGATTTAGGCTTCCTCATGTCCCCACATGGTTTAAATTCCTAATATTGATAGAAATAGTGAATACAATTGGTGGGAGAGGGTGAGTAGAGGTTTATAAGCCAAAGGCTGTAAACAAAGCCCTATTACAATAAATAATCCAAATTGTTTTTACCAGGTATTGCTTGGAATTAATGGACCAGTCAGTAATGCAAGAATTTTCCTAAGTGGAAGTAAAATATGCCTTCAGTAAAAATTCAAATGGTACAACTTGCTTTTTCCACTTGGCGATATATATTGGAGATCTCACCACATCAGCAGTTTGAGATACGTCTTGTTTCTTATGGCTGTGTAGTATCTAAACAGTCCTCTGTTGATGGACACTTACCATTGCTTCATGGTTTTTGCCATTACATATGATGGAGCAGTGAATATTCCATGTCATATGTATCTGTAACTTATATGGAAGCATCTACAGGATAAATTCCTAGCTATGGAATTGCCCAAAGAGTGACCTCTAGCTTCAAAATGGGAGCTGACTTTTGGTTGGAACTGAGTAGAGATAAATTATAATAGAACAAATCTGTAAATTAGGTTTGTATTCCCATTTTACAGATAGGCAGACTTCAAAATCGCACTGCCAGCGCCTGCCAGATGAACTTGTTAGGTCATCTGTCTCCAGAGCCTCTGCTTGTCACCACATTCTGCCTTTCAGAGTCTGTCCTAGAAGGCAGCCCCTGCCAGCGGTACAGAAATGGACGTCCATTTGTGACAGGAGGAAAGCTGTGCCCATTTCACATCCCTTCGGAAGGAAGGGATGATAAAGGGGGGAAGAAGTGAAAAGGTGAGGAAGGCTGCTGAGCAATTATTGACGGCATGGGTTTTGTGGAATGATTCTTCAATCTGTGATCAAGAAGAGGTGTGATAAAGAGAAGGCATCAAGAACAAAAAGTAACTGCAGGCTGACTGAAGACCCAACCTAAGACCTACAGAAGCATTAGTGCTTGGGGTACATATTAGGATGTGTTGCCAGAGGAAGTCCAGTGCCTTTACCTTGGGGCTAGGAGTCCTTCCAGGTCAGTGGTCTCCCTGTCCCCCTTCTTTCCCTTGTCTGGGCTGCTAATGCCTTCCCTCCCCATACTTGTAATATTACTGATAATAAGATTTGCACCTTCTCTGATCTGCACCTCAGAGGCTGTTGCCATGCACTGAAGATGTATATACAATCAGTTCAAAAGAGACAGCATTTATGTGCTGTCAAGTAAAGCAGATTCCAACAGAATTATGTTGAGTTTTTGTTGGCTAGTGCAACCCTGATGGTGCCCAGGAACTGATCAAACCACCAGAGAACTGGGGCCACAGGTTCATTTAATGGTGTACCAGGGAAAGGGGATGGAGGAACCAGGGAGATGGAGGGCTTATTCCTAGAAGGTCTCTAAAATGTAAGAAACATTAGAAAGGAGTTATGAACCATTTTTGGTAGCTACAGGCGCAGGCATGGGTGGATAGGGACCAGCATGGGAGAAATGATATGATCAATAGAGAGCAGATAAATACGAGTTAGGATAAATATGCAAACTATTTTATTGGTATCTGGTGATGTTAACAAGATAAGCTGTAGTTAGGATAATTTCTCATCAGATTGGAGACATTTATAGCCTCTTTCTCATTATATAATGAAAAGCTACTAGTGATGTACAGACAATGATATGGGTAATAGCTTAAACAGTCTGTCACTTAAGTGAGATCAGGAATGACGTTTCCTTCATGCATGAGGTACTGGATACATTTTTTTAAAACTCAGATATGGCATCGGGTTCTGGTCATATCCTAAAGAAAAACCACAGTGCAGTATTTTATTTATAGCAGTATAATTTGTGAGTGTGTGTGTGTGGTAGAGGCTAGGGATGAGTTGTTTGTGACATACCTTAAAGAAATGTGCTTTTCAGATACAAAAGCAATTCACCTCTTACCCCAAACCACCCTTCAGTTCCCTTTCACTATTTTTTTTTTTTGTCTTTAAGAAAATCAAGTGAAATGAGATCTACTTTATTGTTTTAACCTGTCCCTTGTTTTATTTCCAACTACTTCCTAATAAGACAGCTTTCTACCATGTCTTCATCTAGATAAGCTCATCTTATTTTTGCCTGAAATTGTTGCAAACTCCCAGATGCACTAGATTTGAGAAAACTTGGATCTCAATAAGTAATAGCATCTCAATTGCTTATGAGTGCCTGGATTTCTTTTGGCTTGTTTGAAGTTCGAAACTGGCAGTAAGCAGGGTTAGCTTTTCACAGACTGGGGTTTGCTGAATGAACAAAGATAAATTGAATTCTTAATACAACTAGACTAAATGCTTATAGATTTTCCTGTTTTACAGCTCTGGTCTCTAAATTTTATCGGTAAATTTAAGATCCAGACGACTTAGATTCAGCTTTGCTATTGTGTCCTAATAGTTCTTTCCTTAATAAGTCTCAGTGGAAGCTATAGAATCTTAGAAAGGTAAAATATATTCCTGGAAAAACATCCAAAAATGGATAACCAAGATTTACGCTCCCAAAGACCATGATCCTGTGGAAGAAAGGAGAGAAGTAGAGCTGCTTTTCAGTAGTCCTTCCCTCCACCTTCATCTGGGTGGTGTGCCTGGGAGAGGCCAGAGGGGGGCCAAGAACTGTGCATCTTGCAGGGCCTCACAGCTGCAGCTCCAAGGAATGCCCTTGTAGGTAGTAATGGGAGACCCAAGGACAGTCACCCTAAGCAATCACAGCAGCACCTTTCCTGGGGGATACAGTAATGCTTTATGTGCACAGATAAATGCTTGTGATGCTTTCCACTATGGCCAGCAAGTTGTTTAGATCAAGACTCAGAAAATGCATGAAGGGGCCGGCCCCGTGGCTTGGTGGTTGAGTGAGCGCGCTCCACTGCTGGCGACCCGGGTTCGGATCCCGGGCTCGCACCGACGCGCTGCTTCTCCGGCCATGCTGAGGCCGCGTCCCACACACAGCAACTAGAAGGATGTGCAGCTGTGACACACAACTATCTACTGGGGCTTTGGGGGAAAAAATAAATAAATAAAATCTTTAAAAAAAAAAAAAAAGAAAATGCATGAAAATATGCAACCTAACCAGTCAGGCAGGAGAGGAGATGTCACGCGTGGCCTTTGAGGAAAGCCATCTCCTGTTGGCGACCCTCGCTCAATTGAGAGGGACAAGGTTAAGTAGGCATCTAGGAATATCCTGAAGGGAAACACGGGTAACTCGTAAGCTGCCTTAACTTATTTTTGGAAATATATAAGGTATAAAAGATGGGTGGGGCTGGGTTCCTGTGCCCTTCTGACCTCGCCCGCACACAGGTCGCATCATCGCTACCTGCCCTCTAGACTAGGGAGACAAGGGTCTGAGTCTCGGGCCTCTGAGAGCCTGTTTGGCAATGAACCATGGTAACCTCATTACACCCAAACGCACACCTGGGAAAGTTCTGTTTTTTTCTGTTTCAATTCATATATTTAATTTTCTCTCCAAATAAACGAGACTTCACTCTGCATGGTTTTGAATCCTACTTTTAAAATGTGCTATCTGCTGTGTCTTTAAATATTCGGGGGCGGGGGGGTTATAACGGCAGTGCTACTTTGCGTCTCAGAAAATGCGAGGCTAACTACCCTGGTCGCCTCCCCATCTGCCGGCTCTCTCTCGGTGGTCCCCTGCCCTGGCCCGGATGAGGTCACGCCGCAGGATTCGCGCCCAGGCTAGGGGCGCAAAGGTCTGCTCCCGCGCGGCTGGGCACGCGGCTGGC